TCACCGGCGAACCGGCCCTAATAGCTTAAGATTATGATTGGTGCAATTGGGCAATTTGGCCATGGGTACAAACATTTTACAAGCTAAGGAGCTCCTGTTCAGAGATGCAGTAACAAATGTAAAAAGATTTTGAATCCCTATAAAGATGTGTGGCAGAAGAATGGGTTCACAAGTATGACTGATGGACGATCAGGTGGAAGGTCTCTCTCAATTATTAATTACTTAGTCAGTGGTCCTTTTGGGATTTTTTGCAACCATGCACATAATGCAAATTACTTGTCTGAGTTTGATGGACCGGATTGTTGATGAGGGTGGGAAAAGCATGCAGTGCAAGTTCTCACAAACAATGCTTCCAATTATTTCGCTGCAAGCATCTGTTGACATGAAGAGAAAGCATACATTTTGGAATCCTTGTGCAACACATTGTCTAAACCTTGGGCAATGTTGCCCAAGGTTAACGGACAATAACCAGAGCTAAAGGCAATCATCAGTTTCAAATGTAATAATCCTTTTAGTCCTAAGCATGATGAGGGAGCTCACATCAATCATCAGTTTCAAATGTAATAATCCTTTTAGTCCTAAGCATGATGAGGGAGCTCACATGAAAGGGATAATGAGACTGAGAAGACCGACAAATCTCACTCTTCAAAGCTTCTAAATAGTGGACCAAAAATAAGCAACCAAAGCATATCTAGATGGCAGAAAGTCTAAGCAAAGCATGTTAAATACATCATTTTAGGATGAATAACAATTTTCATTGAACATTTCATGTTCTTTAGTGAAAGTGCTACAGTTAGTTGACGGTGATGCAAAGCTCGCCACGGGCAACATACATGAGACATCGACTCGAGAAAAAGAACAAATCAAACCGGTTCTTGAGGATGATGAAAGCAAAATACAAGCCTATACATGAGATTTCACTTTCCAGATATAAGATGGAACACAACTTCACCAACCCCTCCATGCAGCTGGATATTTTTTTAATCCATCTATTAATTACAACACCCTGCCATTGAATCAAATCGTACAATCAATGAAGGCTTCTTAGATGTTATTGAGACATAGGTCCCCAATCAGAGTATACAGAATGACATCTAGAGCATAAAGTGTGCATTATGGAACTTTAATGAGACAGTGATACCACACAAACAAGTGACCCAAACTTTTTTGTTGTTTTTCTTTACTTTATTTTACTTGTTATAAATATGTAAAAAATTTTAATTTCAATTTTCTCATTCTTTGGGTCACTTGGTTAACTTTTTTGTTGTTTTTCTTTACTTTATTTTACTTGTTATAAATATCTAAAAATGCATGAGTGGTAAGAATCTTATGGGAGCAAGACACCCAAATCTTTGACATCACTTCATTCAAATGTTGAGCCTGACCTGCATTACATCCAGTTGCTAGAGCAACTGGAGCACATTTCAGCATGTAAGCCTTTTTTTCGTTTGGTTTGTACTTTTCTAGAATCCGTATTGTTGAATTATATCACATTGGTTAAATAAAATATATCACATAGGTTAAACAACTGTTTTCCCCCCTTTGATTATTTCCTTTCTTTTTATCATAGCTCCATGGTAAAAGACAGAACAAGCTATAGCAAAAAGAGTAAATGACAGTATGTCTGATGCAATGAACGCCATATGGAGAGATACCAAAACAGCATGGATGTTGACCCATTGTAGAACCAGTAAATAAACCATAGATCCACAATTAAAGCTGGTGTTTGAGGCTGATGACTTGATTTGGTTAATTTTCGAATAGGCTTCAAGGGTTGACCTTAGGCCTAACAGTAGATGACAAAGGAAGATAGTTGGTCCGATATCAGTTTCGACAGCCTCGGCCTCAAATTGGGAGATATAGGAAGAGAATGCACATGGATATGACTTTTGGTTATGATTGATTCTAGTTGTCTTTTTCATTTTCTTTGCCATGAATTTTTGCTGTTCGGGTTTAGGGTTGCCATGAATTTTTTCTGTAGTACTTTAGACTCTTCAGTATTTGGCTTATGAATTTTTGCTGTAGTACTTTAGACTCTTCAGTATTTGGCTTTTGGCAATATGCTATAGTCCACTCAGTTGATTGATGCTATTTTATTTTCTAAGTGCTTTGTTGGTATAATACTTATTCTTTTTTATTTTTTTAATATAATGAATGTGTTGGATCAATTTATTTTACATATTAGTTGCACTGAAGAATAGAGACAGAAAATGTCTATGTTACACTTGATCAGGCTATTAGCAACTCAAACAACATACACATTAGATAAAAATACCAAATATCTTGCATCACATATTCATGTTATTATTTCTATGGTTATACCTTGCATCACATATTCATGTTATTATTTCTATGATTATATATTTATTTTACATATGAGTTGCACTGAAGAATAGAGACAGGAAATGTCTATGTTACACTTGATCAGGCTATTAGCAACTCAAACAACATACACATTAGATAAAAATACCAAATACCTTGCATCACATATTCATGTTATTATTTCTATGGTTATTTATTATATTTGTAAACCTTTTAAATTTATCACATAGCACATAAGACCCCGATCGCATATTGAGTCGAACAAGCAGAAAGTAAAAAAATACATCCCTTGTTTTAACAAGTGCATGAAAAGCAGCTTTCCAAATAAGTATGGAATTAATAAATCTGATAATAGGAAGACTGACGACATGCAGAGGCATGTCTGAACTCTTAAGAGTCCTCTGTATTAGAATGCCAAAACCCTACTTCGTTTTTGAAATTTGTTCTTTTGGAAGGAGTCTTTTTGGTTAATCCATTCCATTTCAGTTTCATTTCAGCCCCTCAAGTTGTTCAACATAATTGTCAGTAATAATTCACTCTTTCATTTGCATGCTTTTACACTGACTTTGGGGAGGACCATTGATTAGGGTAGCGTTCAAAGGCTTGATCTGCTCGCATTAAGCAAAAGAAATTATGACACCATAACGTCCATTGTCTGAACAAGCTAATGTTATTTAGGGGTGTTAGCACTTTCTGGTGCGACTCAGCTACAGTGAAATAATGAAAGGGGTGTTAGCACTTTCTGGTGCAACTCAGCTACGGTGAAATACAACTCAGCTACAGTGAATTATTGAAAAAGTTATGTTCTCGCATCACAATTTTGAACAGGAGAATAAGTACAACCCCATGCACTAATCCAGATGCATATCAAATAGTAAATATGAATAGTTCAATAATTTGTGTGGATCAAAAAATATGAAAAATGTAGCCATAATATGGGAATTTTATACTCAAGCCCCACTTTCTAAAAATGTGGATTGCATTTTTTTTTTCTATACATCGGATTAAGCTCAAATTTGAGGAGTTCTTGCTTTTCACTATCTAAAAAATACCAAAAACTTATTTTCAAATAAATGAAATAACCAAAATACCCTTAAAATTTGAAAGCAGTAGGGTTATTTTGGTCCCTTGTAAGAAATATTTAAAAATTAATTAATTAAAATACAAGTGTGCGTATTTTAATTAATTAATTCTCACTATCTAAAAAATACCAAAAAATTATTTTCAAATAAATGGAATAACCAAAATACCCTTAAAATTTTAAAGCAGTAGGGTTATTTTGGTCCCTTGTGTTTTAATTAATTAATTTTAAAATATTTCTCACAAGTGTGCGTAGTTTAATTAATTAATTTTTAAATATTTCTTACAAGTGTGCTATAGTGAGAAGTGTGGGTGCCCAAAATTTGAGCTTAGAGAATATATAGGAAAGGAAAAATATATAAAGAGACCATTTATTTTTAATATAAGGAGGTCACAATCACTCTTGTCCTTTAGAGTTTAAATCAAGTGGTTATGAGTGTCATTGGCTAGACAAAGTTCAAAAAAAAAGAGGTCACAATCACTCTTGCCCTTTAGAGTTTAAATCAAGTGGTTGTGAGTGTGTCATTGGCTAGACAAAGTTCAAAAAATTGGCTAGACAAAGTTCAAAAAAAAATCAAGTGGTTGTGAGTGTGTCATTGGCTAGACAAAGTTCAAAAAAAAAAAATTGGCTAGACAAAATAAATTTGAACTCCAAGTCATTCAATTTGACATCTAGTGGCTAGTAATGACCTTGTGAAAAAGATAAATGGTCTCATAGTATGCAATCCCTATAGAAAGAAAATAAAATCAAATACAATGTCTTTTATAGATGGGGACTTAAATGCAAAATCGCCAAGTCGAATCGGAATTGGTCTCATAGTATACAATCCCTATAGAAAAAGAATAAAATCAAATACAATTTCGCCGGTCGGAATCAGGATAGAGATTTTGTCACCCTTCCTGATGAAGGACAGATGAAGCCCCCCTTCCGGCAGCCTACTTAAATGATCGCGCATATCATGGAGGATTTGTAGCCGAAGTCCAAAGAACTCCCTCTGTTGTCACTTAGTCAGATCTTGACAAATGAGACGGTTTCTTTTCTATATCTCCCAACATACTATTGCCGGTAGCGCTGGTTTCTTTCCATATCTCCCAGCATACTATTGCCGGTAGCGCTGCCCATACTCCTTTGGCCAGCATTATTATAAAAGATAGGACTTAAATGTAAAATCGCCAAGTCGAATCGAAATCGTTCGATCTAACCCAGGAATCATCAAGGACCATCCCAAATCCTCAACAGTATCGAGAACTAGGCGGTTCCTGCCAAAACCAGCAGGCTCTTTGACAGAACCGACCTGTTTTGTCATAGAACGGCCGGATTGCCTAGTTTCCACTTTTTTATCTTTTCTTATTTTTCAATTCTATTTTTTGTTTTCAATTTTTCTAAATCTTCTATCACCTGATTCTCTCGGCTGAATGCCACCGGATGGCCAATTCACCCAACCAATTTTTTTTTAACATTGTAAAATATAAAATATATGGGACTATTTTTAAATTTCAAAAATAAAAAGTATTTATCTGTTAATCTCCCTAAACACATTGATTTATAAAATAAAGCAAGTCAGGGTAGAACCAACAACATGAGCCCAAAAAGTTACCTTAAATACACGTTGCCATAATCCAAAAGCACATAGATTTCCCATTAATTCCACTTCCTTGAAACTGGCACGTGGTGTGATAGAAGGATCAATTTGGAAGTAGTTGTCTAGGTATTCTGCAAACTGCAAAATGGACAACATGGACTAGATAAGCATCACGAAGTCAAGATGGAAGATATAAATCTATCACAGTATATGGAAGAAACTCAAGAAACTTCACTTATTGTACATTACCAACTTGTGCTGCCCAAATGGATGATGTATAGGAAGAGGCTGGGAGTCCATTAATATACCAAGCAGAATACCTTCCCGAAGCATTCCAATCTCACCAAACTTGATCACAAGCATTGAAGCATCAAAATTCAAAGGAAGACCCCCAAGCAGGTGGCCAACGAAGGTTGGCTCATACCTGCCCCTATGAGAGGTTGGTGCATCCAATGCATGAAGATGAACAAGCAAATTGAGAGCGTCTCGCACTATTTCAGGATTTGGCGGATCCAAAGCTTTACGCAATAGAGCTTGTAAGCAGAACATCAAAAGTATAGGTATCATTCCCCATCCTCAAAAAAGTGAAAAATCTTAATATAAGGATAAGATATGTTTTTAGAAACACAGCCACATTTAAAGATATTGCATATCTAACACGAGCTAGAATCATTATTCACTAGAAATTCTAAACGACGGAGTTTGCTTCCTTAACCGATGTCAACTATTGTGTCTCATATTGCCTGCTGGTTACTAAATGCTGCGAATTTCGAGGCCTGAAAAAAAAAGTGCAAGCAGTTCAACAATAACACAAACCAGATGATCTGATAGGTCTCTCCTAGGCCAGCATTGCTTTTCACGTTGGCGACACAGTAAAAATATATATGCTACATGCATGCATCTTTGCATAAAAAATGTGAAGACGAGAGAAGTAATGCACTCTAAACTCTAGGAAGTGTTTCCATCCGTTGGTAAATAATGTCTAATATTTATATATCTCCAAAATCTTTTTTTTTTTCCTCTGCTCTTGAATCGTATATCACCAGGTCCAAGCTTCATGCCGAAACGAAGACAAAGACTAGATGACAGACTCAATCATCATAGAGAATGTGGTTAAAATGTAGATTTTTTTTTTTTTTAATAAACTCAACGTTCATCATTATTATACATCTTGACACACTCCCTCCTCCTCCCAAACACCTCTTAAAGCCCAGTCCCACAAAGCAAGACACAAAAGATAGCATATTACAAGTTTAAAGTTAGGGAATGAATCAAACCCTATTTAGGGATGAAAAATGTTCAGGATATTTCCCCTTTACAAGTACAATATGTCAAGAAATTATCCCTCTTCCTTTATCCAGACAAAATTAGATATAACTTTGTATTACTGGAGGAGTATCAGGGAACAAGAGTGTGAACCGAGAGCACCCACAGACAAAAAATAGGTCAGAACACAATGACCCTATACAAAAACTCGGGGCTTATAGACATATATATACAAAAAATAATCTGTTCTTATGATGTAACTGTGGTCAAAACTATATATATAAATGTATGCCATGTGGGCTCTGGATTCTTTAGGTCGTATCATTTTACTCTCTTTTTCTTCTGCTGTGCACAGACCCCTAGACTGCTCCATGAGGTTTAACACGCACAACATAGGCACATTCCTCAGAAAAGATATTCCATCTAGCACAAGCATGTGCTTCAAGCCCCACAGTCAACATACATGTGCTTCAAGCCCCACAGTCAACATATTGCGTCCCTTTCCAATCTAAGTTTTTTTGTCTATTAAACTATGAGTTAGCAGTAGACTATCACTTTGGGTGAGGGAGGCCAAGGGCTCAAACCCTTAAGAGTTTGTCCCCAAACAAGCTGACCTACCCTATGTTTTCAAGTATCGGGCTCGGGCTTGGGCTTGGGCTTGGGCTTGGGCTTGGGCTTGGGCTTGGACTTGATTGGTCAGCAACTGACAATTGCTAGACTACGTCTCAAGTTCAATTACTACATCTTGACTATACAACAACAACAATAATAATAATAATAACAACAATAACATTGATAATAATTATAGTAACAATAACATACATGTGCAAAGTGCTTGCATGTCCTTAGGGAGGAAGAGGACCATTCCATAGTACTGTATTGCTTCCATGTTTGATAAGCATAAATGATGCAGTAAAAACAAGTTCTCTCTACCCCCATTGTAGGCGAAAAAGGGGAACATAAAGCTTCTGTCTAAAAGCACGGAAGTTGAAATAGGAACTTTGCCCCAATGGAAAAAGGAAGCTTGGCTGATAAAAAACCCCTCTCCTCACGCCCTAAACCCATTTGCTTTTCTTCCATCTGCATCGCCCTAACCCTTTGCTCTTCATCCCTGTGCATCTGCCTCGCCACTCCATGCCTCCCCAAGTATCTCTCTCTCTCTCTCTCTCTCTCTCTCTCTCTCTCTCT